CTTTCTTTATTCTGTATGTTTGGGGTCTTGATTATAATGGGCTGAGGGAACTTTTTTGTGGTCCACTCTATTTGGTGTTCTGTAAGCTTCTTGCATCTTCATTGGCATGCTTTCCTTTAGGTTGGGAAAGTTTTATTCTATGATTTTGTTGAATATGTTTTCTGCCCCTTTGAGGTGGATTTATTCACTTTCTTCTATACCTATTATTCTTACGTTTGGTCTTTTCACTGTGTCCCATATTTCCTGGATATTTTGTTTTAGGGATTTGCTGGACTTAAGATTTTCTTTGATCAATTGATGAATCAATTTCTCCTAGTGTGTCTTCAACACCTGAGATTCTCTCTTCCATCTCTTGTATTCTGTTGGTTATGCTTGCATCTGTAGTGCCTGACTGTTTGTCCAGCTTTTGTATTTCCAGCATCCCTTCAGACTGTTTTTTTATTTTTTTCTATTTCAGATTTCAGCCCTTGCACTGTTTGAATTGTTTCTTGCAATTTTTGCTTTGTCTTTTCCTCCATTTCTTGCATTTTTTGAATTTTTTGATTTATTTTTTATTCTAACTCTTTAAGGGATTTTCCCATATGATCTTTGAGGGCCTCTATCATTTTCATGAAGTTGTTTTAAGATCATTCTCTTCTCCTTTATTTGTCTTGGAATGTTTGAGTCTTGCTGGCGTAGAGTCTTTAGACTCTGACGGCGACATATTTGTTTTTCTGTTGCTGAATGTGTTTTCATATTGTCTCCTTCCGATTCCTCCTTCTAGTGGGTGCAGAAGGAGCCTCTTCCTCTCCTGGTGGGTACGGGACCAGGGTTCACTTCCAGTGGGTGCACGCAAGTCCAATGCTCTGATAGCTCTCCTCTTCCTGGTCCTGTGGTTTGATAAATGGACTAGGATGCTGTGGTGCTTTGGCTCCTGCCTGGATGGAAGCTGCAGTAGCAGACATCAAGCATAGGCAAGTGGCCTGGAAACAGCTACCACTTTTCTTGTAGAGTAGTGTGCATGGCATCTTTCTGAACCATGAAATCTGGCTAGTAGGGATGAGTTCTAGGACAGAAACAGCTTGATATCTCCATATTCTGTGTCTCCAGTACATGTTGTCTTCAGGAATAGAGGATTACCATCAAGTTCTGGAGGGTAACCAATAACATTGGCAATAGCCTGTAATGCTCAAGGGTTTATGGGACTTCAGTGGCCAACAACTGTGAAAGAGGTAACCCATTCCTGACACTGGACTTTTAATTCTTTTCAGCTAGTAGTGTCTAGTAGAGGCATTGTTGTCCTATTATGGTGACAACTCCATTTTAACTCTTTTGTATATTTGCATATTTATGGACAGTGCAAATTTTAGAAGAGGAGGCTATTTGGGATCATGTTTTTGGAAGCTTCAGTCTTGGAAGGATTGGTTCTGTTGCTGTGGGACTGTGTTGAGATAGTACATCACAGTAGAGAGTGTATGGTGGAGCTAAGCTGCTCACCTCATGGCTGAGATTCACAAGAGAGAATGGAAGGTTCTGGCTCCTTCTATTCATGTCCAGAGCATACGCTGCTGAAGTATGACTCATTTCAAATCTCCCTGAACACTGATCCCTTTGCAATGTTGTTCAGAAGTAGTACCAGTAACAGTCCCACATCCAGCTTTACCAGCTCTTTCATGCATATCTACTGAATGACTCAGGGGATTCTCATTGTCAGGGTTCAAGTTCTAGGTAAGATCAGATGCTTTTGAGTCCTTTTGTGGGAGTGTAAGCCATATGGGAAGAGGTAAATGCAATGAAACGTCATGTACACCAGTACAAAGCAGGCCCTTCACACTGAGTCCCCGTGTAGCAAGGCCACCTCTAGTTTCCATGTGTAGCTCACCTCCCCTGCCTGACTTATGGTGTCTACAGATTGTTTTCCTCTCCAATAGGAGACCCAGGCTCTTTTACCTACTGCTCTCAAACAAGGCCCAATGCTGCCGACCTCTTGTTGATGCTGTAACTTTCTCAAGGAGGGTCCAAATGGATTCCACGAAGCCCAACTGTAGATAGACATCGCACTCATACTCCACTCTGTCCATTCTCAATACTGAATCTAGACCCTTGCTCCATAGCCTGACCTTCCCCTCTGTCCCCTTGCCTTTCTGTGCTTCTATCAGTTTTAGGGGTTACTTTTCCCTCTACTTTTCCCTTCCTGGTGACTATCACTCTCGAAGCCATGTCCACCAGCCTTTGTCAATTACTGGGAAATCTGGAGCAAAGTTATGTAAACAATTACAAGTTTTCATTGACTCTCACACTCTGGGGGTCTGGATCAGTCCCATGCTGGCCTCCCAGCTGTCGGTCTGGGGTCCAAGAGCTCTCCGCTGTTCGGATCAGCTGTCTCTGCTGGTTTTGCCAGCCCATTCTTTGCCAATTTGCTCATCGCTCCTCTCTCTCTGTCACTGGGTTCCATGGGTTCAGTTCAGTGTTTAACTGTGGGTGTTTGCCTCTGCTTCCATCAGTCCCTGGATGAAGGCTTCAGGATGGTTATAGACTCCCAGAGTGTGAGAGTCAGTGAGGAGGCCTGGGCAACCTATGGGGCCCTGGGCAGTAGATCAGTATTTATTTATCCCTGGCATACAAATGGACTTCGTGTGCCCATAACACAAAGAGGGATGCTTTCTCAGCCTGGACTCTTAGGGGAGTGCCTGGACTCTGCCCTGAGTGAAATGACTGACTCTAGATATCCCCTATGTGGAAGGAAGTGGCGATGGGGTGGGAGGCTGGGGGGGGATGGTGAGGAGGTGAGGGAGGAGGGGAGGGAGAGGGAACTGGGATTGACATGTGAAACAAGCTATTTAAAATTAAAATAATAAAATCAAAAATGATAAAAAAGAATTCCAAGTTTTACCATATATGTTTTGGGGTCTCATTCATATTTGAAAATATGAAGACAAGGTCTCTGTATGTGGTAGTTTGAAGAAGATGCACTCTATTGTCTATGGCATTTGAATACTTGGTTCCCAGTTGGTGGTATTGCTTGTTGAAGCTTTGGAGGAAGTGTGGCAATGGGGTGGAATTTGACAGTGTAAAGAATCCTGTAGTTTAATGTTCAATCTCTCTCTCTCTCTCTCTCTCTCTCTCTCTCTCTCTCTCTCTCTCTCTCTCTCTCTCTCTCTCTCTCTTTATGCTTGTAATTTAAAGTGTGAGCTCCCAGCTTGCTGCTCCAGCCTCCATGCCTGTCTACTGCCACACTTCCTCACCATGATTGTGATGGATTCCTTCCAGAATTATAAGCCAAATAAACTCTCCCTTCTATAAGTTGCTTTGGTTACAACAACAGAAAATCAACTAATTAATACACTGACAATCAAAGAAACTTGCTATGACTATAGCTCACAAAGGATCTGCTCATGGGAGACAGGGTCCAAATAGAATCACTCAGTTTTAGCCGCATCAGGGAAACTTATTAAACCAGTGCTGTGGATCTCAAACTGCTATCTGTAATTTTTTTTCACCTCAGATTGTAGGATCTCCTTGCTGATTTTTTTTCTGTTTCAGCCAGTCTAGGGAGATAGGAAATGAGCCCAGAACAAACATTTCTGAAGGATTCCCAGGTAATTTTGTTGCTTTCATTCCTGGATCACATTGTGAGACCTGAAGGCCCCAGTAGCTTCACTTGACTAGCTAGCTGGGTTGGTTTAGGGGAGTGACATGAAGGCTCCTACATGTATAGCTTCTGACTGCTCAAGGCTAGTCCTCAAAGGATCCTCTTAGTTCAAGCTGCTGCATCAAAATCTTATTGATCAGATGGTCCATGAACTATAGAAACCAATGTCTCATGATTCAGGAGACAGGAAGTCTGAACTCAAGGTGACACTCTAGTCAGTTCTGGTGAGCCTCTCTTCTGGGTTTTAAACTGTTAACAGCCCACTGTATCTTCACACAGAAAGGAGATTATAGAACTCTCTGTGAGCTCTTAGTAAGAGCCTTATCCTAAGGTTCCAAGTAGTTGTCTCAACTGTTTCCTATGACATTCCATTTGGGTGAGAATTTGAACTTAATGAAATTTGGGGGGAGTGGAAGAGATTGTCAGTCCACTGCAGGGAATCAAATACTACATCGTGACTAAGGCCCTGTGAATGTCAACTGATCATCTAGTGAGGAATTGTGCAAAACCACGAGGGATCCATTCACGAAGGGCAGTAATGTGGCTCTGTGACATAGTTATGCTAAGCCACACCCTGATGGGGACCATCCCTGGGCAGTATGTGCACTTTTTTGGGTGAATTGCACATAATACACTCACTGGAGGTGAAAGAATCCATACCCAGGCTGAGAGGATGGTGCATGGTTTCCGGCAATGAGTAAGTGATGAGTCAGCTTTAACTACAAGTGAAGCCAAAGCCAAGAGAGAGCTTGAGTCTACTCAACGCTCTATTTGCTCCTTTCTGTTTGTACACAGCTCTATTATCTGGTAGGAAAATGGCTTGGGTATTTGACAACAGTTCTGGGTTTCAATTAGGACCCTCATATCCCTCTGTGTATAAGAGGTCCTTGAAGGAACTCCTAGGGCTTTGGACACTAAATGGAAGTAAGTATGCATGTACACTTCTGAGAAACTGTTTTCATACAAAGATCAACACAAGGCCTGCTGCCCTCCTGCTGCCCCCTAGGGAGGCAGGGCTTCTACTCCAAAGATGTGTTATAGTTTGGGTCTGAAGAAGTATGTATTGAGGGGCTTGGACCCCGCTATGCAGTGGTGTTCAGAGGTAGGAAAGAGAAAGTGTCGGTTTAGCGGCTTTGGCAGGTAATAGAACACCAATCCAATCGTTTCTTAAAATGGAATAGTTTGTCTTCTCTTTATTGGAAACTGTATGAACATTTTCTTTTCCACAATAGCAATTCTTTTTCTTTCACTCTAAAAGGAGCTAAAATAAACGAATCGATTCAGTTAATCAGTTAAAGGATCAACTCTTTCCAATGGGATGAACTAGCGCCACCAAGCGGGAATACAGCTTGCTCCCCTTGACCGCTCCCGACCGGCCGCGGCTGGGCTCTCCAAAGCCCAAACAGAATCACTTGCGCATGCGCTGCAGTGGCCCACTGCTGTTTGCCCGTTTCCATGGCTACGAAGCCCATCAGCGTGGGAGAGGAAGAAAATGAAGCTCAAGAGCCTCTTGCTTCGGTATTACCCACCAGGTACGGAGTTCCCATGTGTGGACCCTGGGTTCCCAGCCTGGGACGGTCTGAGACGAAGGAGGGGCGGGAACTCGGGGAGGGGCATGGAGGTCCTGCTTCTGTGACCCAGTGGGACAGGAAGCCATTGCTCTGCAGTCTGGGCCTCCTAGCCTTTCACATGCTGACCGACCCCTGTTCCTCAAAGTCCTTTAAGTGACTGTCTGAGGAAGTTGTTCAACTTTTAAACAGCTTTCTAGTAACTCACGAGTCTGAGTAGGTGGGGCTGGAAGGGTAATGAATACTGATGTCCTGGGATAGTGTTTTCTAGAACCATCTGTTATTTTAAACTCTTAATGACCAAGTCTAAGTGAAGGAAGCATGAAAAAAAAAATGCTCACTCAACCAAGCTTGTTACCTTTGTCACACACTCCAGTGTACCTCCTCAAGAAATCACGTTACGAACCCACAACTTTCAGGCTCTGTGCATGCACCTGGCCACATGCGTTTAGAGAAGGTCCTTGATTCTGATGTGGTGATTGTGGTCTATGTCCACAAAATGCTGCTGTTTCAGAGTAGGATATACTTTTCTGATGGTCACATGTTATAGGTTGAGGGGGACATGGTCACCATCGGAGAGTAAATGAAATAAAACTTGTTAGGGTCAAAATAGGAGGAAACTGGGCAGGGTGGCACACGCCTTTAATCCCAGCAGCCGGTGGATCTCTGTGAGTTCAAGGCCAGCCAGGTCTACAGAGTGAGTTCCAGGACAGCTATGGCCAGCCATTACACAGAGAAAAATCTGCCACGACAAACAAACTAACCGAACAAAAAACAAAACAACAACAAAAATAGGAGGATACCTCCCAGATTTTATCTAGGAACTCAATTTAAAAATAAAAAGCCAGTGGGTAAAGATACTTGTGGCCAGTCTAATGTGGTCGGAGGAGGAACTGCCTCCTGAAGTTCTCCTGTGACCTCCACATGTGCACTGTGGACTGTATGCTTGTTTTCATGTGCTCATGTGCACACCATAAACAATAAATGTAGATAAAATAGCAAATGACATGGAAAGTGTGAAAGAAAATGCTCAAAACTTGGCTCTGGATAACTGCTAAACATACCTTCTCAACGATTCGTTTGGGGATAGAAGCTGCAGGAATGTCAGGGGAGAGTTAATTCACTTTGCAGCATTTTCAGCAAGACAGTTTTATGGATGTGGACTCAGAATTGCGGGAACAGGTGTCTCATTTTCCTTAGCAATGCAGCCAGCATTTCAGCTCATAATTCTAACCAAAGTATCTACCAGACAAGGCTATCATTATTCCTTTCTGTGATGCCACTCTGATTTCGCTGTCTTAGACGTTGTCCAGTCAGCAGACAACATCATCACCTGTCTGTTTTCCTTGCCCAGTTTTTTCCCTGCAGAAGCCACATGACCACCCTTTATTTCCTCTTGACACCTCTCACTGCCCCTCTCTGCTCACTCTTTTCCATCTGTCAACAAATTGTATCAATCACTTCTACTTCCAAAACATTTTGTGAATCCATCAGCTCACCCCTCTTCAGAATCACAGTTTTCTTGACTCAGCAACTCTTCCATCCACTAATGTAGCCCGACTCTTGATTTCAGGCATCTTCCATCTCTTGTTGGGATGGCAGTGTCTTGTCAACTCTCATCTACTGTTTTCCAGTGGAATCTGAACCAGACAACTCCAATAGACTCCCATTATGCTCCTGTTAGGATTAGAATAAAATGAATAGTCTGAAATGGTCCACTCAACCGGCTCTCTTCATTTCTAGAACTTTACCCTCTGTCCTCTCTATATTTTAGATCTCTGAACTATTCTTCCAAAACTTACAAGAAGGCCTGTCACCACTGTCCTCTCCCTGGACAAAGTTTCCCCTAGACCTCACAATGGCTAATTTTTTTCTTTACATCATTTCAACTAGTGTCATTGACACAGAGAAGCCTTCCTTCTCTATGTCAAAAGTACCTTCACCGACTTACTCTACACCGTTTTAAATTTTTGTGGGCTGTGAGACCTGAGCAGCCAATTATCAGCATATTAGACCTTCTCTGTGGAGCAAGTTGATTGGATATGTCAAGTTGTCAGTCAATAGCTCTTAGACTCACACTTCCAGTGACATTCGAGTTGCCAGCATGGTTGCTCTCTCCTTACAGTGTAAGCCTAATTTGAGCCACATGTCCTCCAATCTCTCTCCTTTCTTTCTTTAGCTAGTTTCCTTTTTCACTGAGGCAGGGTTTCTTTTTTTTTTTTTTTTTTTTTTTTTGGTTTTTCGAGACAGGGTTTCTCTTTCTTTTTGTTTTAAAAAATTTTATTTAACTTTTATGTTATGTGCGTTGGTGTGAAGGTGTCAGATCCCCTGGAAATGGAGTTACAGACAGTTGTGAGCTGCCATGTGGCTGCTGGGAACTGAACCTGGGTCCTCTGGAATAGCAACCAGTAATCTTAACCCCCGAGCCCTCTCTCCTGGCCTGTTGTCACTGTTATCACACCCCAAAACCTGTCTTTTCAAGATCTTCACTGACCTCCGTGTATCTGAATCCACTGGCCATGTCCCAGTCCTAAGCAGGCAGCAGCACTGCACTCCATGGCTACCCAGTCTGGTTTCTAAAATGACTACTCTGCCATTTTCCCACCTCATCACCACTCCTTGCTCTGTCCTGTGCTGTCTCCTCTGCTCTCGTAGTCTGGAATGCCCCAGACCTCTGACCTGAAACGTGTCTTGTCTATTTGCACTCATTTGCTCGGCAACCTCAACTATAGGTCAGAGCATCTAACTGGAAGTTTGGCATCTTCATAGGTACATCCAATGTACACTTCATATGGGATAAGTTTCCTGTGGTCTTCCCTATCTCAGCGGAAGCTTTGGTTCTGTACTAGTTCATGACAAAGATTTGGTCTCATTCTTATTTCTCCTCTTTCTCACTTTGTATATTGTTCAATGAGTGATTTTGTCAGTTCACTCTCTCTCTCCTCATCCATTCATGAATCCATCCATGTCTATCTCTCCATTCATCCATCCATCTACCCTCCATCTGATATAACATTCTACCAATATTATACCAGTATTACCAGATATCAGAGACCTCATCCCACCTCCATTACATTACATTAATTTTCTCTATTACTAGAGCTTCCCATGTCAACAGAGCAACCTGATGACTCTGTTGAAGAGCCCATCTGAGGAAGCCAATCTGCTGCTCAAGCTCCCCACACACCTTTGTTCATTTTAAATCTCAAAGTCCAAGGGTCACTCTGTCCAGTCTCTGCAGGATCTCATCCTTCTGGCTCTTTGACCCTGATATTTTCTTAGTCTTCCTTTAGCAATACCACTCTTTTCTGTGTGCATCAGACCCACTTTACGTGGTCCTACTAAGAGTCTGTGAGGCTGCTACTACTTCCTGGGATAGTTTTTCTGTGGTGGTTTTCTGTGGTTATTTGCATAGTAGGTCTTCGAAACTCTTAGCACTTTCCTCAAAGATGTATCAGAGGAAACCTAGACGGCTTCTCTTTTAAAGAGTTCCTTCTTCCCAAGGTAGTTTCCAGCCCTCTTCCACCTCAGGGCTATGTCAGTCCAATACACTATCCCCTTACTAGTTTTTCTTGCTTAACTTTCCCAAGAGAAGAGTTCTATGAGGGACTTTGGCTGCTTTGTTACCTATTTTCGGCAGGTTCATAGAGCTTGGTGCATAAAATGTCCACACACATGTGTTGAATAGGTAAGCTTGATGAGACCATACACAAGGATGATCCTGGAACTTCAGCTGAAGTAAGAGCAGAGGAGTCTGATCTGTGATGATGCAGCCCCGGCAGTCACTGTTGTACCAGGAGTCAGACAGGCTGCACACTCCGGCTTGTCACTCTTGCCTTCATGATTATTTTCCTAGTGAGACCATATTACTTAGCACAATTAGATATTTGATTTCTGAATTCCAATCCTCAGGGTGCTATTGCATATGCAAGTTTCCCAGACACTACTGAATAGCAAGTGGGTGTTTTACTAACATTACTATATGGAAAAAATGCTTGACATGCAATGTCCCCTGTATAGCCTTTATTATCAGGTCTATATAGAGAACAATTTTGTTTTGCCTTCTAAGGCTCTTGCTTCAATCCTCCCACTTAAAGTCTGAAACACCCTTCTGCTAGCATCTGCTAAATCAATGCTGTCCCTTCCTAAATACCTGGTGACTAAATTCATGCAGCAGAAAGTTGGTCATGTTCAGTAGTTCAGTAACCGAAAGGTCTTGGCTTTTTGAAACGTAGGTGCTCACTGAGTTTTTCCACCAATTCAGTTATGACAGTCTTTGCCTCTTTTGTCATTTTGTGTTCAGTTCCTTGCTCTTTGGTTAGAAATTAAATAAACATCAATTAAACTGGTTCGGATTCCCAGCACTTCAAAAGTTTCTGCTGTTCTGAGTAAAGAATACTAGCATTTCTTGATACATTGCTACGGTGTGAGGGTAGAGGCTTCTTTATGTAGTGTTTTCAGAGGTAGGCTTGTTGCATAGTAACTGATGACAAACAGAAGGTAGGGACTATTGAGAGGTAGAAACAAATCACCCGTGAGAGATGTACACCGTTAGCACTTTCACCTGTTTGTGTGAATTCTCTGTAAGCTCATGCCACAGCTTTCAGCTCCAGGTGCAGCCCAGTAGTCGTGGAAAGGATAATCACACTGCCTTGATATTTTATCACAGTGATGCAGCCAAATGTGTCTGTTTGAGATTTTGTACTTTACTTTCTAGACCTCATATTATAGCAATTTAATTTATTTTTAGTAGCCATATTCAGGGCTTTGGACAGCACTTATTTTGATAGAAACAAGATAGGCAGTGAAAAGAAAAAGAGCTGACCAGACTTATAATTAAAGTTCATTTGATAATTTTAAAAAATGAGTATTTTAGGATATTAGGTTGTGTAATGTGGGTGTCAACTTCTATTTTTCCAATCTTTCAGACACAGATTATCCTATTACATATCATCCCTTATTATAGTAGTTCTCAACCTTCCTAATACTGTGGCCCTTTAATAAAGTTCCTCATGTTGGGGTAACCCCAACCACAAAATTATTTTTGTTGTTACATCATAACTGATTTTGTTACTATTTTGAATCACAGTGTAAATATCTGATATACAGGGTATCAAATATGCGACCCCTGTGAAAAGGTTGTTTCAACCCCAGAGGGATTGTGACCTACAAGTTGGCCACTTCTGCCTTCTAGCACTTACTAGAAAATATTGAGTGCTTGCTTTCCTCAATAATAGCACACAACAAGTGCATTTATATATGATGTAAACTCCTACAGTCACAGAAAAGGAAAATCATTTTAATGTTAACACTGCCTCACATTTAGGTTGGCTTTATAAAGTTTAAAATGCTTATCTTATTTGGGCCTCATTCCTTAAGGGTTTATATTGGTTAATTCTAGGAAAATCATATTTTTTCTCTTATTAGTGAGGCAGAGACTCTCTTATTTTGTGTATTTACTCATCATTGGCTGCCCCCAGCCCCAGGTTTAGAACTCTTCCTATTGAACTTCCTGAGTTGAAGCGCCTTCACTGATCATAATTTGTTCTTAATGTCATTAACTCTTGACTGTGTGGGAGTTTAAAACTGCAGAAGTCCTTTCAAAACTTCATCTTTAGCTGTTGAGTTTTATACACTTAAAAGACTGATTGCAGACACTGGCGGATAAATATGCCCTATGATTCAAACTATTTCATATTTTATTACAAACATTATCTCTAACCAACTTGTAGTTATGTTTTTGTGTGTGGCAGATATTTATGCTAATTTTTAAATCAAACTGATTTTTACATCATTGCTTGTTAAATAACACATTGTTTGCCCATTGATTCTTTGCCCATTGATTCTATATGTTCCCTTAACCTTTCTTTGAAATGGCAAGGTATAGGTAATTATATAACCATGGTTTATTTTGTATCAGAACGATACTTCATTGTCTTATAGTTTATTGTTCTGCATAGTGGAACGATATTTCAAGTTCCAAATAGGAAAATTCCATGGTATCAGTTTCATACATTTATATGACATCTTTACAATATTGACCTTTGTCTTTCAAAATTACATCTCTCCATTGCCATTCGGGCTGTTATTTAATGGTTCAGACATATCTTGTATATTTCACATTGATTTTGTATTCAGGCACCCAGATGTTCCCTTTCCAATTGTAAAAGGGATTTTTCTATTAATTGCATCTTCATTTGTTAAAATATGTTTATAATTTATCCAATTTCAACCTTAGATCTTTAAATTGCTCCTTTAAACTCCCTTCAGTTTATTTCTAGTTCACAGTGTATTTGTTTTTAAAAGATTCTTTTTGGTTTTTTTTTGAGACAAGGTTTCTCTGTGGCTTTGGAGGCTGTCCTGGAACTAGCTCTTGTAGACCAGGCTTGTCTCGACCTTATAGAGATACAACTGCCTATGCCTCCTGAGTGCTGGGACTAAAGGTATGCACCACTACTGCCAGGCTCTTAAAAGAGTTTAAAAGTGTGATGATCCTAAATAAAAGCTAGGGATGAAAAGATGGGAGGGTAGGAAAGCAAGGTGCACATCTGGGAGGAGTTGGAGAGTGGTGGGAATACATCAAAATATATTCTGTGAAATTCTCAAAGGACCAATAAAATGAGAAAAATATTGTGATATCTACATTTTGCTGAAAATTTCTTTGTGCCAAAGGCTGTCTGTTTTTATCCTAAATAAACAAGAATTTTCTTCTTTCTTTTTAAGTTTATTTTACAGTTATATAACCAGAGTCTGACTCCAAATCTTCACTACAACTGTCTCTTATGAAGACAAATTTTGTCAAGACAAACTATACAAAAGTGCCATAAATCTAGTCATTCTCTTGTGCTGGAAGGCTGGGTAGCTCTAATAGTCATCAAAAACATTCTGAGTGTTTTTCTTATTCTAAGGCATTAAACTTCAGTTTTGCCAAGTAAAGTGTTGCAAGACTGTTTTGAGATGAATTCATTCCAAGATTGTGACACCCAGAAGGGGCCATAAGAGGAGAAGCAGGGCTGGGGGAAGAGCCTTGCTTGTTTAATGTGAGGGCAGGTCACCAGCATGTCTGGAATTCAAGAAGCCTATTGTGGGGAGCTGTAATTAATGTTTATAATTATGATTAATGATTAGCCTACTGATAACCAGGCCATGAGCACCAATGAAAGAAAGATAGATAGGCAGACAGATAAAATGAGAAGAATACTTGGGCGTAGATTGAGATTAAAAGGAACAAAGCCATTGGAGGAGAAAGAGGGAGTGCATTCAGAAAATCCCGAGGAAGATAGATATATTGGGATTGGCTACCTATGAAGGGTCATGGGTAAAAAGGCAGGGAACGCCTATCTAAATAAGCAGTCTGAGGATATATATCCAGCCACATACCGTGTTCATGTGCTTAGCTGGCACCATGGTGGTCCTTAAGAACATACCTGTGGTTGTGTGAGTTGCAGAATGAGGCGCTCCCCCAACTCCTACTCCTTAAAGATCATCTTTACTTCAAAGACAGACAGATAACTGATGCTTTTCATATTTGGTGCATTTGGCAGACAAAGTTTCTACTGAAAACCTCAGTATTTCCTGCCAGTGATAAAATTTGAGCTTTCACAGAAAACAAAATGTTTGGAAAACTTGTACCCACCACATGGTTATGACCGTTTGCCAGCAGTGAGAGTTTTCTGATGATAGGTTGGAGGGGCTGCTAACAGATGTGGTCACTGGAAACCATATGACAGGGCCTGTGAAGACTAGAAGCCACATGTAATTCAAAGAGAATTGTTTTGCAGTTATGCCTGCATAAAAATCCACAGAAAATCTGGATTTTATTCTATCTGGATGTCGCAGAACTCAGTGAAGTGGTTGTAGTTCTACACTGCAACTATCGCTTGATAGTTGTAAAAACTCTTAATTGCTAAGTTTTAATATCATATTAATGAAGAGCCATCATCATTTGCAGAAGCTATTATATATTTCGTATCTGTATATGGCCGCTTATTTCTTGTATTTCAACCAGAATAGTGTCTGAATGGCAAGAATTCTAACTCAGAAGTGGCAGTGAGGTCACAGCTGGCTTCAATTTGGCTGGGTGTAGGAGATGTGTGTAAAGCTGCTGTGCCGCTGCTCTGATGGTTTCCTTTGGGAAACACAAATAGTACAGTTGTGTTAGCATGTTATGAATCTGTAATAAAACCACTTCACAAATGCTTAAAAGTTATCAACTTTAACGTGGAAACCATTACACAATGAAAGCATATTTGTTGTCCCAATATGTCTGAGAAGTGTAAGATGTTCTTGTGGCCCACGCATGTGTTTGGAGGCTGTGCAGTGCCCAGGGGAAGTACAACAAGGCAGGCAGCGCGTGTGATTAGGATGTGATCAGTTCTTTGCCCCGGGCTCTTTTCTCTCTGTTGTGTGTCTTCACAGACACAGATTATGCCTCTAGTCATCTTTAGCATTGAGCCAATCCACAATGATATTTTTCATGTCATTGTCCATTCCGTATTTTAAAATTCTTGTTTGATTTATTTTAATAAGTTCTGTTTATTGCCAAAGATTTTTAAAAATTGCAAGTGGCCTTGTGATTGTTGAAATATTAAAACACATAGACTTTTTGTTAATTCTTTGAAGAATTATATACATGTACATAAAACATTTTGGTGACAGTAATTTCCCTTCTTCCAACTCCTCTCATGTCTACCCACTCCTCAACATCATGCCTGTCTATAAACTCTTCAGTGTGGTCACTGGGGCATGGTTTGTCTACTAGGGACCACACCCTTAAAGAAAACTGACTCTCCCTCTCCAACATTCACCAACTGTCCATAGCTCCTCAGTTAGGGATAGGGGCTGTTGAGTCCATTTTCCCTCTCAGAGCTAGAATGATGCCTGGTTTCACCTTGTGTAGGTCTTACACCAGCAAATAAACATCTATTGCTGTTAATATCTTATTTTTATTTTTAATTATGTGTATGTGTCTATATGTGAGCATATGCATGTGGGTTCAGGGTGTCTGTGGAGTCTAATTCCTCTGAAGCCGGAGTCACAGGTGGTTTTGGGTACTGGGAGCAGAGCTGGATTCCTCTGCAACAACAGTATGCATACTTAACTGCTGATCCATCTTTCTAGCCCATGTTAAGACACTTTTTAATGACTATTTATATACCAGGTAATTGAAACATCTCATTCATCTCAACATTGGTGTTTGCTATTGGCCTTTGCTGGTTATCAGTATGATGGATGATTCTTTTTATTAATGTATCCTGGGTATTGGTGTTTGGTGACTGTCTCTTCCTGGTTTTAGCACCATAAGGTTATCATTAAGCTTCTATCTAGACCGCTTGTTGGGTCAGCTCATCACCTTGCTACATTTAATAAACAGGTCTGGTCCCTTTCTGAGGGCTTTAGTGGCAGTGGCAATTTGCTCTCCTGAGCCCCAAGAGTATTACTGTGCTCTGCTTTGTGTTTCGGTGCTCCTGTGACATCAGACAGGGGCATGAAGGTACTTCTCTGATGTTTCTGAGTGCCCTCTAGGTCACCCCGTGAGACTGGTGATGCTGCTGTCTGGAGGACAAGGAGACAAGGCTTCTCTAGCATTGCTTTAGAACACGTGTAGTTGTGGACAGGTTTGGGACATCCAGGAGTTTACTGTTTCTCCTTTTTTGGATGGGTGGGATGGGTTGTCCTCCAGTGGTCAGCCTCAGAAAAAAGTGTGGGACGTCTTAGCTGCTGTGTCCCCATTCTACCAGCACTGGGTCTGCTGTTGGGCATGCGCTGAGGAGGCCTGGAACTGTATTGTGCTGCTTCTGTGTTAGGACAAGGATAGCCCAGGGCTTCAACTGTAAGGTGCTACTGGCTGGTCACATTTCATCTATCCTCACAAAGCATGAACAGGAAGTGGGGCCCAGATAATAACCTCCCTTGCCCTCCAGTGATCCACATCCACCAAGGAAGCTCTCCCTCCTAAAGGTTCCATGATCTTGCTAAACCACATCACCAGCTGGGGACCAAGTGTTCATACCTGTGAGCTGATGGGGGATAGATAGTTCATATTCAAACCACAGTTCTATACAAAACTGAGGACCAGATTTCAGATCTATAGCATTCTAGCACTCGGGAGGCAGATACTAGCAAACACCTGATGCTCTTGGGCAAGCCAGCCTAGCCAAATTGATTAGCTTGAGAGACCCTGCCTCAAAAAATAGAGAATGGTAGATGAAGATACCTGACATTGACCTCTGGCCTCCAGATGTGTGCTCATGCAAGTAAATGCACACCCTCCTTCATGTATGTGTGTGGCCACAAGAACTTGTACATGTGCCACACACAAACAGACACAAAACAACAATTAAAATCTGCAAAGGAAAAGTTTTAAAAGAACTCAAAGTGCATAACCTTTTCCTAGCCTTTCTTAAGCACATTATATCGTGCTTGTGTGTTTACAGGAATTATGCTGGAATATGAAAAAGGTGGAGAACTAAAGACCAAATCCATAGATTTGCTTGAGCTCAATCCTAGGTAAGTTAGCCATGAATGCAGAATGTGCTTCATATCAGAACTGTTAAGAAAAACACCCAAGGAGGTTGTACGTATGGCTGGGCTGAACAACTATTATTCAAAACACAAAGGCCATCATTCTAGCCTTTTTTTCTGAGAAGGGCTATTTTAAAATAAGAACTGGTTAGTCTAGAATAGTTTTAGAAAAATATTTAAGACACGGTGTCCAGCTTTCCCTATTTAATGTCTTAGGTTGGCTTGATGGAATTGTCACAGCTAGCATACTAGGATTGATACATTATCACCAGTCTGGGTCCATACTGTACTCAGACTCTTTGAGGTTTACCCCATTTCCCTTTTGTGTTCTAGGACCCTAGTCAGGATCCCATAGGTCATCTAGCTGTTATGTCTGTATAGCTTAGAGTACCCTGGATTCATCATGTAGGAGACGCCATGGAAATCTCCACTTATACTGGAGCCAGCGTCTAACACGAATCATTCAAAAAAGTTGCAATCTTTGGTCTTGAACTTCCTTCTACCAGTTCTGCCTCCACTGGCCCAGAGGAACACAGTGATTACTGTGCATCCAACTTCTAGGGATTGAAACTTAGGTCTTCATGCTTGTGTAGTTCACAACTTTATCCATCAAGCCATCTCCCCAGCTCAACAGAATGTATTTCTTCACGTAGTGAGCATAGACACAAATTTGACATGTAAGTGTTGTGGGGTGAATTTCAGTACAGATGTCAACACCCTGGTAGAAGAGATCCAGAAAGCAGAGCCTCTGATCACGGTTTCCCGGACACAGCAAGTCAGACTCCTGGTCCAGAGGCTGCAGGAGAAACTCAGGCAGCATTGTGACCACAACTTCTACCTGTTCAAGGTAAGGAGTGCTTAGGAACACCAGGGTCACAGCAGCTACCTGCTGAAGGCATGCATAGGGACACCAGGAAGGACAACTTGGGTGTACTGTTGATTTCTCTTACAAGTAATATCTTAAATTTTTTCTAGAAAAATACTTGTGTGTTGTTTTAGTATTTCACATACAATTGGCCAAAATTAACCTTCAATAGGTATTTATTGAAAGAATGGATGAAGTTCAAAATACTAACTTCTTGAGATGTTCAATAAGGATTACCAGTCAATTCATTTCCCTTTTTAATCAAATTACTAAAATTATTTTCTAGTTACAGTACTTCTAACAAGTTGTATTTCTTGATAAATCAATGTTCTTCATTTTCTGCTTTATCATTAACTAAACTAAACTAAGCCATTGAATTATTAACTAAATGTGTTATAAATATTTTTTCTCTATAATTTTCTGACTAAATTAAAAATATAACAAATGTATCTGTGTAGTTACTTAAGAACAGCTTTTTAAGTTAAAATTTTGTTCTAAGATTGCCTCATTTTATACTGATTTTATCCTTATGTTTTAAAGTATCATTAAAATAAATACTTTTTTATTTTGTATTCATTGATTCTACCTGGTATAAATATGCAGGTTCTCCTTGGTTCTCATCCATTCAAGTTTCCAGAAAATAAGGCTTTTTTAATGCTTTATTTTTTCTACAGCAGGTGGCACTGTTCAATTACAAATACAAGCTGTGTAACTACCTTGACCTTGTGAATTCTCATGTAAGGGAACATACTTGATAGCAAAAAAGAAAGGTATTAATAGTTGTGCTCTGGAACCAGACAAATCTGAAGCTGACTCACCTTCTCGAATCACTCAACCAATAGGTTATTCAATTACTATACTTATTCAATGAATAGTCATTAAGTACCCCCTAACTGATAGATAATGTAGGGGTTCAAATATAAATGAGGCATTCCAACTTAAGAGACTTTTAGGATTAGAAAAATAACACTGCGTTGTAAAATATATTTGAAACATGTTTTTCTTAAGTACACTGTTCAAACATGTATAGAAAACTATGTGTGGCATGTACAAGACAATGCTACAAAAGAGGACAAAGAATGGGCTGGCAAAACCAGCAGAGACAGCTGATCCTCCGAACAGGGGAGCTCTTGGACCCCAGACCGACAGCTGGGAGGCCAGCATGGGACCGATCCAGACCCCCTGAATGTGAGAGTCAATGAGGAGGCCTGGGCTACCCCTATGGGGTCCTGAGCAGTGGATCAGTGTTTATCCCTCGAATACTAACAGACATCATGTGTCCATAACACAAAGAGGATTGCTCTCTCTGCCTGGACTCTTAGGGAAGTGCCTGGACCCTACCCCGAATGAAATGATAGACTCTAGATATCCCCTATGTGGAAGGAATTGGCAATAGGGTGGGAGGATGGGGGGGATGGTGGGGGGGCGCGGGAGGAGGGGAGGGAGAGGGAACTGGGATTGACATGTAAAACAAGCTATTTAAAATTTAAAAAAATGTTAAAAAAAGAGTGCCATTGGAATCTTCTTCAGTAGCTGCAATTAATCTCAACAGTGAACTGATTGGTGGGAAGCGGAGACTCAATCACTTTTTGCAATTATGTGTGGCTATTGAGAGTATAGTTTGTCTTTATCAGAGGCACACTGCTGTTTTACTTCTAGTTTGTTTGACTATTGGATCTTGTCCATTTACTACATACATCTAAGAATACATAGTCTGTCACCATTTGTTTGAAGTTAAAATTGATAAACTTAATTCTGTGTGAGTCCAAAATAAATGGTGTTTCCTTCTGTTGAAGGTTCTCAGAGCACACTTACTGCCGTTGACCAATGTGGCACTCAACAAAGCAGGCTCGTGGTAAGGTCACCTTGTTCTTTTTAACTTTTAGCAATCAAAGAATGAACATTTCTGAGGGTTCTAAAGTGTTCAGTTAGTTCCAGACCTAATGTGCCCATCTTTTGGACTTCTTGATCCCTATGATTACAGAGGAGAGGTGCAAGCCCTCGCTCCCAGGGTGTAACCCCGGTTTTCTTTGTGTTTGTGTAATTTGTGTGAGAGGCACTAGGAGGTGTCATCAAGTACTATGGCTGGGAATCAGAAGAAACAGAACAGTCCCTAGGCAGCTGCCTTTTTGCCAGGGCTGTTGGAGCTGTTTATCAGGGGCAGCATTGTAGCTGGTAGGGATGCGTTGGTTCAGAGCCCGCCTTTTTTGTCTAGCTCTGTTTTGGTGGACAATGCTTAGAACTACCAAGGTCATGTTCAGAAAATGCTTTGATTGCTTGGGATCTGAGGGTCTAGTTAGGAAAGGTGAGATAAAAGCATCATTTTGGTACACAGACATGCAAATATGCCTTATAACTCTGCCAGGATTGCTGTCATAAAAGAGCACAAACTAAATGACTCTCAAACAGAAACATTTTGATATTGTAGAATGTAATGACAGAGGGTGTGTACAGGTTAGGGGAAGAGAGGGTCAATGATGGTGTCAAAAGTTATGATCTGAACAATCGGGAATATAATCTTACTCATAGTGAAGCGTTTGGAGTTTCACAGAAGTCATAAAAGTCATTATAGCACACACTTTAATTGTATAAGGATACTTATTATTGGAACAGAACTGGAAGATTTACTTTCTACTTAATGGGTTTTTAAATTAAAGGATTTGGAAACTGTCCTTTGTTTTGAATGTATGATTTCCAATATTAAAATGCATACCAAAGGATAAGAAGGGGGTTATTATCCAGTGGGGAAAAGAAACAAAAACAAAACAAAACACAAAAACCAGGGAGGTATCCATGAGCACAATGCCCGCCATTTTCACCATGCACCGTGCTCATGTTTTCCACATTAGCATCATCACAGGAAGCTACGATCGGACATGCAAGGTGTGGGACACTGCATCTGGGGAGGAGCTGCACACGCTGAAGGGCCACAGGAACGTGGTTTATGCCATAGCCTTCAACAATCCTTACGGGTACGTTCATTTCATCCCATCATTTCTTCATCACTCGTATTCACCCCACCACCTACTGTGTGACCACAGGAAAAAGACAGGCTTGAAATTCATTGTGTTTCTCCTTTGTTCCTCGGGAACCTTTTAAAGTCTCTTTCAATGTTTGCTGCCTTCGAGATGGCCATCAGTTTTATAAGGGATTGGAAGCTGAAGTACCATTCCTGGGAACAGTGTGTGGAGAGTTATCTGGAGTTCATAGTTGGTGATGCTGACCAAGAGAAAGGACTCATTGATGTACAGCATTGTGTTCAAGGCTCTGGGGAGTGTGACATGCTTCTGCTGCATAACATGGTTTCTTTCATTTGTAAGTGAACATTCAATCTTGTGGAGCAGAAAAAGTATGCTAAGTAGCAGTGCCAAGAACAGTGGAGGCCCCCATTCAGGCCAACCTCTGGTTAGCTGACTCAGCACATTAAGAATGCTCTCTGTTTTCAAGCATTGCATGTTTCCCATTCCCACGACACCATCGCTGTTTGTAGCCACAAAGATACCCATCACTGTGTTTGACTCCTCCATGGTGAGAGTCTAAGCTTATCAAGGGGTAGTTGTATATCCATGAACCTGTGCTTTTAACCATACTTGTAGGAATCTAATTGCACAATTGTCAAAATAATTAAAAAATATTACCTAAACTAATGAGCTGTGAAGATGAAAAGAGAGTTACTGTCTTCTATGAAAGCAGTAGGGGAAATGTTTGAGAAAGTTCTTCCTAATGAAGTTGTGAGCAAGAGCCACTGTATTTTTGTTCTTCCAGTCTATTTAAATTCTTTACATTTCTCATTCTATTTAAAAATCTTAAAATACATGTTTATTTTTATTTCAATTTTAAAATTAAAATTATATATATAAATATAATTTTATATATACATGAGATAATACACACACACACACACACACAGACGTGTGTGGAGGTCAGAAGACATTTCCCAGGATTCCCTTCTCTTCTTTCATCATGTAGAGTCAGAGAGATGACTGCCATCTCAGCGTGGGCAGCAGGTACCTTTACCCACTGAACCATCTCTCCAGCTCCTTCTCATCCCATTTCAAAGAAAGCAAAGCTGGGATCTGTGGGGATTCAGTCCGATTTCTGTAACCCAGGTGCTGAATTTGCTGACCCTGGGCCAGTTTAGTGACCCAGTGCAAGCCAGTCTGTCTCTGAAGTGGCAGAGGAGCCCAAGACTGAGGTCAGCTTGCCCTGGGGAGGGCACACTGTCCTGCAGGGCTCGACTGCTCATAGAGGCTTGTGAATACAGGAGCAGAACAGTGAAGGTGCTTTTGACAAGGTTTGCACTGGCAGACTGAAAGGGTCAAAGGGACATGTGGGGGAGGCAGGGGACCAGTCCCCACAGGGCATGGAGCCTTCTTTGACAGAGTGACAGAGGAAGACAATGTAGTCTATAAGATTGTTTGCACCCAGACTAGAAATTTTGCATCATAGTTAAAACAATCAACTTGTGGGCTTCTTGTGTCATTGTATCTTTAAAATACAATCCCAAAATACATTAATTATGATGGCATAATCAACTTAAATTGGTATTATAAACTGATTATGCAGAAAAATTAACTTTGATGCATACATGTTTACATTATAGAGAATGATAATTTTTAATAGTAACTTATACTAATTTATAGCAATAAAAACTGTCATTGAAATTATAAATGATACTGTTTAAATACTGGTATAATCTTTAATTTTTACTAAATGTTCTTTAGCAGTCTTTTTAACAGGCATGATATTCTTGTGAATGTGAACAAAGTTTCCTGGAGAGAGGCATATATTTCTGTTGTTCTATTGAATTCTACGTATGTCTCTGATGAAAATTCACATGTCAACTTACAAAACAGTCATCCTAGTCTGATGATTTATTTATGAACCAAAGCATGGTTTTTCCATTGCACCTCACCGCATCTTAGTTTCAGAGAAATGAGTTTGAGATAGCTATCAAAGAATAAGATGGAGTGTGAGTGGTGTGGTCCTACATGTTTGTGTCTAAGAGTGTGTGTGTTTGTGTGTGTGTGCACTCAGTGTTTGTGTGGTTTTTTTAAATAAAGTTAAGGATAAGTTTCGACTCAATTGTACAATTCTTAAAATGCTGAACCTTAATTATCAATTCTGGTATGATGCCATAAGACATAGAGAACAGTTTGTCATGGAGTACAAATTGACTAAAAGACAATTACAACATGAGATTGATGTGTTTGAAGGGCAGGAAGGCCAGCAAAGTGGACTGAGATTAGTCACAAGATTTTGAGGTCTGAGGCTAGTCACAAGACTTTGAAGTTGTGCTGAACAAGAGAGGAAAGGCAACAGAAATAGAGATAAAATGTCTTGCTGCCTTGAACCAGAAACCATGTGTTTTAGTTAGGGTTTCTATGGCTGTGAAGAGACACCATGACCATGACAACTCTTAAAAAGGAAGCATTTAATTGAGGTGGTGGCTTGAAGTTTCAGAAGTTCAGTCCATTATCATCCTGGTGGGACTTGGTAGCATGCAGAAAGACACCATGCTGGAGGTGCAGCTGAGAGTTCTATATCCTTCAGGCAACAGGAAGTGGTCTGAAACACTGGGCAGTATCTTGAGCATATGTGAGTCCTCAAAACCCACCTCCATGATGTCACACTTTCTCAAACAAGACCACACCTACTCCCAACAAGGCCATATTTCCTAATAGTGCCACTCACTTTGGGGGCCATTTTCTTTCAAATCATCACACCACAGGAGGAGCCCTTCTGAGACCTTGTAGCCTAACTTGCCTAGAGTACCAGAGTGTCAGGAAGCTTTTGGACATTGTGTGGGTGTTCACCAGGATGAACTACCCCGGAGCATCCACAGAAAGGTCCATGCTTCATTTAGTCAGAACGATTGCAGGTGCACTGAGTGTATGGCCTGGAACCATAGGAAAAAGGCAAGACATCATCAATGCTAGTCTGGACAAATTTAAGTTCTATGCCTGTCCTGGGCACTTATAACTTCTTTTAGTGTATGTGACTTGGACTTTATGGCCCAGTTCATATGCTTTTGAAAAAAATGAATTTTTAGCAAGTTACTATGTTATGATAAGGTAGGGACTGTGGAGACCATAAGAGGGCATTGGATCTCCTAGAACTGGATTTGTAGACAGTTATGAGCCGCTTGATGCTGGTGCTGGGAATCAAATTTGGGTCCTCTTCAAGAATAGTGCAGTTTCTTAACTCCTGAGCTGTCCCCCCTACCCCAATATGTGGTTCTCTCATGTGGATTCTGGGCTTTGAACTCAGGACTTCATGCTTGTGTGGCAAGTACTTGTCCAGTTGAACTGTCTCATTTGCCCACAGTATTTCAGACTTCGAGTCTATCCTCTCTAAATGCCTCTGCAACAGGAATAATTTGATGTTATTTTCTTAAGGAATCACTGAGGTGGAATCTCTCAAGATCTTACCAATCATGTGCCTCTTTCCCACTTTTAAATTTAGTGTTTCCCTTTTGTATACATGTAATAGAGTTTTTATATGTCCACACAGCTAAGATTACATATTAATGATATTCATGTAACTGTTTTCATTTTTTTACTTTTATTGGTTTTTTTGTGTGGATTTCACACCATGTACTATGATCCCTCTTATCTCCCTTGCATCTTCCCTCTGCCCTTGCATCCCTCCCAACAAATCAAAACCAAATTTAAAAGAAAAATCTAAAACAAAACAAAATAAAGAAACAAAACACAACAAAAACTAAAACCAAAACCAAACAAACAAAAGGAAGAAGAATCTTGTTGTGGAAGCTGTCGTGTGGCCTGTTGAGACATAGAGTTTACCCTTTAGTCTATTCATCTTTACTTGCAAGTGTTCATTGCCTCCAGTCATTGGTTTGGCTCAAGGCCTCTGATTTCTGCTACACCCCAAATCATGGTCTTTCACTGGGCCTCCTCTTTGATATCCTGTTGTTGTCCTGTGTCATGGAGACCCTGCTGTTTTGGATCTGTGGGTTTGTCCCCTTCACATGCTCCAACCCTTCTTAAATTCAGTGGATATTGCAGCTGGGCCAACTCATAGCTCTGGTTCCGAGCTTGGGTGTTAGATGGGTTGGTCAACTCACTAGCCTTCCCTCGTTGTCACTACTTGGATGAACTCGCCAACACTGCCCAGGCTAGCCCACCCAATGCAGGCTACAGCAAGGAGTAGGGTCATTTCTACTGCTCTAGGGACCTCAGATCCAAGTCCCCCTCATTCATATCACCAGGGCCAGCTCTAGTGTTTTGCCCAGGTAAGGTGCAGGGCACTCTTTCCTGATTGTTGTAGGGGCCATGTAAGGGGGGAAAGGGGCCAGCTCTCTTGCTCTAGGCTAGCTCTGGTCTAGCTCACCTGTGCACCCACAGCAGGGTCATCTCCTGTGTGCTGCAGCTGGTGTGGGGCAAGGGCTAGTTCGCTCACTCTTTTCTAACTCAGTCTTATATTAATTCAAAAATTGTTATTACAAAAGCATATTCATACCGTTAACACATATTCAATATCCATACATATGAATTGACACCACTAAAAATCAAATAGGTTTTGTTACTCATTGGAGCAAACATGAAATTGTTTATTTTAACAGTACAACGTATGCCTAAGTAGGGCAATAAGCCATGCGTCAGCACATCTAGTCTTAGTTCAGTGTATCATGCAATGTGGCCGAGTTTGTTTCTAAAATCCAGACTTTTGAAATTCGCAGTGACAAAATTGCCACTGGGTCCTTTGACAAGACCTGTAAACTCTGGAGTGCTGAGTCGGGAAAGTGTTACCACACCTTCAGGGGTCACACAGCCGAGATCGTGAGTACAGCTGACACTGAGGATTCCTTCATGTTGCTCTTCCTTAGAGGACTCAGTAGTGAGCATGGGGGTTGCTTTCATATCGCATCTTCTACCTTTGACCCAATGTTTTTAGTCTGCACGGATTGTCTATGTGATTCTCACCACTTAAGAGTTAACCACTCACAGATTTGGTGAGAGTAGCCTGTAATGTGATTGGCATCTGTGTGTGATGGACAGCACTCCTCCCTGGTTTACATTTGCTTATTGACTCCATGAGGGTTAATGAGGTTATCACAGTCTCTGTAAAATAACTTCCGTGAACCACGTTGAGAGTGCAGAATGATTATTTCATGCATTTCAATAGGATTCAGACTTGGACAAGTCATCTGAAACTCTAAATAAATAGCTTCCATTTATGGGGAGGCCTTTGTTTGTTGTCATCTGTATTCTACAATATGTCACCCTGTGGAGCTGGTGATGACTCTTGAGAACAAACAGAATGCTTGAATTAGGAGCAAACTTGTTTCTCATCCACCTTCAGATTCATGGCCTATTCATTTAACAAGAGCCCATGGTGGACTTAAGGTACTGTGCAGATAGGGGATGCTGCAGATATTCTTCTGTGGCACTCACTGTTCTCAAGACATCGATGTGTAATAGCTTACTTTGCCCCTTAGAAAATCCGATTTTGAGGCACAGCTAAGGAGACTGAGGCACTGACAGTAATTGGTCAAAGGTGAAGAAAGACAAAATCTCTGTCTTCAGAAAGTAGCTGTGTTCCCATACTCCCTTAAAATTTTGAAATGCTTTTCTTTTGCACAGAGTTCCTAGTAAGACAGTCATACAATTTCATGGTTAACAAAATCTATCAAATAAACACTAAATGTTAACCACATGTGAAGAGTCATTGAAGTAGCTCAGTTGGTAAAGTGTGGGTTTGATTCTGAGCATTGCATAATTTAGACATGGCCAGACATCTCTGCAATCCCAGCCCTAGGAGATGGAGGCAGGAGAATTAGATCAAAGTCATTCTTGGCTACATAGGGAGTTCTAGGGCAACATGACCTCAAAAGAAACAAAATAAAACCCCCAAAGCTATCTGTACATGTAATGTGTACAGTAGTTGTAGAATGCTTGATGGAACTGGATGCAGGGTTTTGTTGCTCAGGAATTTTCAGTTCAGCAGAAGGAGCAGATACATCACTGGCTAGGTTTAAAGAGGTGTGGTTATTGTGCTAGAAGTGTGTGGTGACCTCAGTGAGGCTACAGGGAAGGAGGTGACGTCAAGTGAACTTGACCAGGAATGACATTCAGAAAGAATGATGGAGAAGGGGCGCATGCTTTCCAGACACAGGGATCAGCATTTTTGTGTGTCCAGAGCTGTGCACCAGGGGGTGTTTCTGAGAATTCAGATATTGCTTTGTGATCAGAGAACTCAACCTTCTCCAGAGATGATATGCATTGAATATGCCACATGGACATGCCACATACACACACTGGCTGAGTTGCCTGCTATACCTGGTCCAGGGTGATGGGCAAGGAACTCTTGTGATGCCCAGCTTCCTGAGGTACTGACATTCATGTCTTTGTATGTCTATATTCAACCAAAGCCAGAGTATTAAGTGGAAGTGAATGCATGGAAGAGGCATGCAAAAATCATGGGGTAGGTCTAAGGGCAATTATATCATGGCATACTAAGGAACCTGGGCTTTATCTTATGAGCCATTGGGGCTTGTCCCGGAGGGTGTGCCTGACTTGGTTCTCTGAAATTACTATTTGTCTTAGTTTTATGAAGGAAAAATTGGAGGCATGTGAGACAAGAGGTCTCTGCTAGTTAGGGATCTGCTGCTATCCAAGTGATCCATGGTGAAGGCTGCCCTAAAGTAGTTGAGAAGCTGAGAAGTGTTAATGGAGTGGGGACAGAGGTGCTTGGTTACCACATATCTGAGGAATGAGGAAATGGAATCTAGAATGATTCCTTGTTTGGGAGTTTATGTTATTGGCAGTGCCTTTCCCTAATTCTGTGTATAAGAAGAGATCGCGTGATTTTTGAACCTCAGACAGACTGAGGAAAATTGCCTATGCCATCTAACAAGCATCCTTTGCTATTGGCTCACTATTCCACAACATCACATCTGAGAACAGGAAGATGATTCATTAATAATGTTGATCGCCAGGTTTAAGGAAGAAAAGCTCTTAAAATAATTTCACCAGGTACTTTATATACTTTCCTTAGCTTCCATGGTCAGGTGATGACTCAGGGAGTGTATATGATTCTAAGTCCTTGATGGATAAAGTTAATGTTAGGAGTTTGCATGGAGAGTGAACTTGATAGGTCGAAGGTAATGGTGTTGAGCATGCTAGAGGTAGTGATGTCTCAGTATCATAAGTTGAATGGTAAAGATAGACCAGGAGACCAGTGGAGGTCTCGAGGAAAGGGAATGTATCCTGGGACAAGGAAGGGATGGCAAGTGAGGAAGAAAGCTGGAAGTATTTGGAAATTTTAACCAGAGATGGACTAGCTGGTGATGAAGATATAGGCACAGTTGCTAATGGGAAGACCAAAAGCATGGGTCTGAGGCTACTAGAAAGACTGCTTGCAGGAAGGCCATCCAGGACATGGAATTGATTGGGTGAGCCAGAGTCACAGTTCCTCACTGAAGAACATGCTCAGACTGTGATCATAGCAACCTGGAGAGCCCCTAGCATGAAACTCACAGGAGATGAGCTGTGCTTTGACTCTTACTGTTCTGTGTTCTGAAAGCTGTAAAGGGAACCTGTGACAGAGCAGGTGACATGAGAAGAACAGGGTCTCTCTTTAGGTGGTGATTTGTTCAGGGTTCTACCTGGAGATGACAGGTTTCTCACTCTGATGATTTGGTGTGTTCTTATACACACCACCAATTAAATCTGAATCTGCTAAGATATTTGCAAGAGTTTTAGTGCATAATTTAGAGCAGGAAACACCATGTTTCTAAAGTCTCCCCCCACCTCCCATTTCATGTGTTGTAGGTGTGTTTATCATTCAACCCACAAAGTACAGTGGTTGCTACTGGAAGTATGGATACAACGGCCAAATTATGGGACATTCAGAATGGAGAGGAAGTGGTCACTCTAACAGTATGTCCATATTGTTAATAAGCCATATTACTAATCATCTGTTTTAATTATTAGTTGTATTTGTTATGAAGTGAAGGCGTTTAAACCATGGAAGATTCTACAGTTGGTTTGGTGACAATTGGGACAGACTCAGGCAAAGGTGCTGGAGAAACCAAATAGGCTTTTGTGTTTTAAATGTAAACCACATAATCTTAGCGTCCCTAGTCTATCTAGCTAAAAGAGAATGGGTAGGGGCGGTTACCGTTTAGAAGATGCACAACTGAAGAGCCATGCCAGCTGATTCTTTTTGAGATTATGATTTATGTTCCCCCTCTCCCTTCATGCTCAGCTTCAAGTTCTTCTGGATTACATAGAGTACCGGACTGAAAGCACAAAAACCAAAGGGTGTGACTCACAGAGGCCATGCCTGTTTTTTTTGTTTGTTTTTGTTTTTGACTTACCTGTTACCACGATGTCTTTGACACCTTCCCAGGGCTTGTCACCCTCCACTTCATCCCACCCAGCCCAAGTGCCTGCAAGTGAACTAAAGTATATTGTAATGAGTACGAACCATCAGGGAGTGGTTCCTTGTCCTTTTGCAAGTGTAAGTGAATTTTCAAAACTCAAACCAGACAAGCACAAACAGAATACTTTCTCTAAGAAAATTAAAAGTAGAATAAAACAAGAAGAAAGATGGTCATTATTGTAAAAGTTATTCCAACAACTTTTCTATTTTTTAAATCTGAGGACCTAGCATTATTAACATCAGAATAGGCCAGTGTTTTCTGACTGTGTTTTCTTTCAGGAACATGTGGAGGGAAAACTTCATTTTAGTTGGTGTCTGTGGTTTCAATATATTTTTCTTTCTACTGACTCTGCTGTGCCTGTTTGGCACGCCGAGTCCTGCTCTGCGCATGCGTCTGCATGCCTATCTGCTGGTGGGAAGAAAACCTGTGTGCATGTCCTGAACTTGAATGCTCAGTTATGCTTTACCTTGTCAGCAATCAGTAAATCAATTCGTGAATGAACTTTTTGGGGGGGCAGTTTCGAGACAGAGTTTCTCTGTGGCTTTGGAGGCTGTCCTGGAACTAGCTCTTGTAGACCAGGCTGGTCTCAAACTCACAGAGATCCTCCTGCCTCTGCTTCCCAAGTGCTGGGATTAAAGGCTTGAACGTAAACTTTTAAACTATTCTATTATCTGCAAATATAATGAGTAGATGAGAAGATATCACAGCGGGTAAATCCCTCTGTGTAAGCAAGAGACACTGAGTTCTGATTCCTTGCACTCTTATATAAGTCAGGTGTGGTGACACAGTTGTGTAACCACAGCACCTGAAATGGTAGAGACAGATGAGGTCCTTGCCAGCCAGCCTAGTCCAACAGTCAGATCCAGGTCTAGTGAGAGACTCATTCTCAAAAATACTAAAGTGGATAGTGATGGAGAAAGATAAATGAAGTTAACCTCTGACAACCTCCACAAATGCATAGACAAGTGCACCCACAAGCATGTTCACATATACATCTCTCTCTCTCTCTCTCTCTCTCTCTCACACACACACACACACACACACACACTGAGAGAGAGAGAGAGAGAGTGAGAGAGAGAGAGAGTAATCCTAGCAATTTAGAGGTTGAGACAGGAGAAATATGTATTCAAGGTTTTATAGTGCAGAAGCAAAACAAAATAGAAATAAAGGTATTTAATTGTGTTTATTTACTGATACAATTGAAATGATGCTCATATCACAAATAAGATCCTATTTCCAGATTCTCAGAATTTGCTGCAGGAGGAACTTCTTCATATGGTCTCATACAGTGGGCTCCTCAGGTATAGCCCGTGAGGAGGGAAAATCAGGTCATGGACGGCTGCTTATCATCATTCATTTGACATCACACAGTCATAGGAGTTTCTTCCTCTTTAAAGTTACTAAATTATCCTATCTACTCTTTTCTTTTGCTCACTGCTGATTATCATGACTACCTGAAGACTGTTCTTCTAGTCTTCTCAGGACCTAGCTTCTTCAAACATATTCTTCTATCTTTAATATAACCCAGTCTGCCCTACAACATTTTTGCTGTTCTGCAATGAACCTGCTTGAACTGTGCAAGGCAATGAACTTTGCTGATTTACTGTGCATATCACCAAATTCTGGTCTCTCAACTTCCTTGTTACCCTGCATAGAAAGCTGTGCATATATACAGCCCAGCCTAGTCTAGCCCAGGATGATTTCCTGTGTCCCCCTGCACCTATCTCTTCTCTACCATCTTTTGTATGATACTATACTCTTATCTACAATATTCTTATCTATGTTCTCTCATCTACACGTGCGTATGACTGTGTCTTTTCTTTTTCCAGGGCCATTTGGCAGAAATAATTTCCTTGTCATTTGACACCTCAGGAGACAGAATCATCACAGGATCCTTTGACCACACAGTTGTAGTATGGGATTCTAGTACTGGAAGGTAATTTTCTAGATATTTTTGATCTGTGCCAGTAGTTAAGAAGATCTGTGTTATATATGAACTTATCCTTGCCTAAGCTGTTTATGATTTAAATTCTTCAGGAGTATGACTCATAGTTGGTTTTTTTTTTTTTTTTTTTTTTTTTTTTGGTTTTACGAGACAGGGTTTCTCTGTATTGTTTTGGAGGCTGTTGGTCCAGCCCGGCCTCGAATTCACAGAGAATCACATACCTCTGCCTTCCGAGTGCTGGGATTAAAGGCATGTGCCACCACTGCCCGGCTCATAGTTGATTTTTAAAAATGTGTTTTAGTAATTTGCGTGCATATATGTATGAGCAGCACAAACATGCCTGGAACTTTCATGATCGAAAGCCACAATGCAGGTGCTAGGAGCTAAACCTGGGTCTTGTGCAAGAGCATCACGTGCTCTTAACCATGAGTCACCTCTCCAGTCCCCAGGTTGACTCTTTAGTGTTATTTTGGATCCACAAAATAAGACAGTTCCTATAATTCTGGGCAAATGATACCAGACAGCAACATGAAGAGCTTCGTTGCATAGCTGTTACTAGTCCCATGTACTATATAATCAGGTTTCAGTGTCATCTTATTATGGTAAGGCTGAGCATCATGAACTAAAACTCATAGTTAATTCCCAAACTTAATTTGGTCCAGAACTTCAATTTCCTTTCTAATGGTTGTTGGTCTTACTTGTCAAGAAGTTAGCTAAATATACATATTTGTGTTGGAAAACTCCACTCTTGGACTAAGAATTTGGATAGAGGGATTCATTACCAGTGCTATTATCCAAGAACATGAGTGAGGGAAGGGCCTTGCAACTATTGGATGCACTGCTCCTGAACACCCATGGGTCTGTGGGACCCACTAATGTGTTTTCATTCATTCATGAATTAGATAGCTAATAAATTAGTTTTGGAGTCAGAGTCCCATGTAGTTCAGGCTGGCCTTGAGCTCTTTCTGTAGCTGTGGATGACCTTGAACTTCTGATCTCCATGCCTCCATCTTCTGAATGCTGGTATTATACACATGTGCCACCACACTTGATGTAATACTGTGGATTAAACCCAGAGTGTTCTTCATGCAATGAAAGCAATCACTTTGCCATATGAGCTACTTTCCTAGCAGTACTCATTGATTTTAAGACCATTTCTGGAGTTTTAGATGACCTTTATGAATCATTACTCATTCCTTTCTGAAATGCTACTTTAAGTAAAGTTATAGTTTTCAATTTTATTTTAATTGTACATATTTATGTTACAGTGATAATTCAATCCATGTATAAACTATTACATGATGAAAACAGGATAGTTAACATCTCCATCTCCTTAAATACTTTTTTCAAAGTTATACTAGTATGAAATAATTGTACGTATTTGTAGGGTACAGTGTGATATATGGGCATATGATATAATGTGTTACTGAGCAAATCAGAAACTGTCTGAGGCTAGAATAAGACATCATGTTACCTTTTCAAACACAGATTTATTTTTTATGCATGTGAATGTTTTTTGCATTCATGTGTGTATGTGCATCAAGTACTTGTCTGGTGCCCAGAGAGGCTGGGAGAGGACATTGGATCTCTGGAACTAGTTACAGTTGGTCATGAGTTGCCATATGGGTGCTGGGAACTGGCCATGGATCTCTTGAGTATAGTGAGTGCTCTTAACTGTTGAGCCATCTCTCCAGCCTCAGTTATATTATCTTTGATTACTTAAAACTTCCCATGTGTGTTTTTACTGAAATTAGTGTGCTCTTTTCAAGTCACAGCAAAACTCTTCGTTTCATTATAAAAACTGTAATTTTGTAAATAATAAAATTTAGTTCACATGTATGGGCTTGACTATGTGTGCACATGCTGGAGTAAAACACCTGTGTTTTTATCACTAACCTGACACGACCTAGAACAGTGCTTCTCACCCTTCCTAAGGCTGTAACCCTTTAGTACAGTTCCTCATGTTGTAGTGACCACCATAAAATTATTTTAATTGCTACTTCATACTAGAATTTTGCTACCGTTATGAATAATAATGTAAATATCTGTAGAGATACAGGTTTTCTAGAGGGATTGTGTTCAAAAGGTTGAGAACCACTGACCTAGAGTCACCTGGGAAGAGAGGCTCCAAGTGAGGAATCATTTTGATAAGGATGGCCTATGGACATGTCTGTGGGAGACTGTGCTGATTGTTAATTGCGTTATGAGGATCCACCCTGGTTGTGGACAGTGCCATTTCCTGGGTTGGGCCTTAAGCTGTTACCAGTGAAGAAAGCCACTTGGGCAGAAGCCGAATCAAGCAGACAGTATGGGGTGTGGGGTGTTCTTGCTTCCCTCTGAAAAGTGACCATCTGTCTGAGCCCCTGCCTTGGCTTCCATGAAATGATGGGCTGAATAATCCCTTCCTCCCCTACGCCGTTTTCTTCAGGGTGGTTTGTCACAAAATCAGAAATGAAACCAGGTAATCTTTGACCAGTTGTGCCTATTTCTGTCTTGCAGGAAGGTGCACACTTTAATTGGCCACTGTGCTGAGATCAGCAGCGCCTTGTTCAATTGGGATTGTTCTCTAATATTAACAGGCTCCATGGACAAGACCTGCATGGTGAGCTCAGAGTTGGCCTGTCTTTGTACTGTGTTTCTTTCCTTTATACTGTTTCAGGTGTTCATCGTAACACTAATAGACTTCAAAGAGGGAATACAATTAAACATTGATTTATAAATGATAATTGCTAATTTCCACTTCAAGTCTCCAGTTGTCTAAATTCGAAGGAACTATAAAGTGATAAATCAATACTGTTTGCTTCAAAGACAAGAAAGGTCTTGTTGAAACACCACAATAATTTTCTTAAGTGTCCTGCTGCTTATTTAGCATGCTTGCTTTGATTGGCACTGCCCTCAAGAAGCCTCAAATAAGTTTTCTCCTGCCATTGATTCTCTTCTCTTCAAAAATAATTACTGAGAGGCTATAATCACTTGCCACATAATTTTATCCAAATGGCATTCAAATCTCACGATGGATGTACTTTTCATTTACTGTCATCATAGTTTGGGATCAAACCCCTAGTCATCTAAAGTCTTTGTTGCAGAAAAGATCCCTTTATACCAATCCCTGAAGCATACCACTCAGGATTTTCTTTCTTTCCATAATGTTGTAGAAAATTCTAAGTGCCTTTGCCTTGATTTTCCTGTGACCAAATGGTTGACTGTGGTCTTTGGTTATAAATCAAAGTGGAATTAAGTGATCAGAGAGAATGATATGTATCCTTTGATCACAATTAATTAGCAAGACACACTCCTATCATGATATCACTGGGCATCTTTCCACTTTGGGAAGGAATTTCATTGCTTAGTTGATGGTTTGTGTCTCTCTCAATTTCAGTTGTGGGATGCTTCAAGCGGGAAATGCATAGCAACCTTAACAGACCATGATGAAGAAATACTAGACAGCTGCTTTGATTATACGGGGAAACTTATTGCAACGGCTTCTGCTGATGGTAAGTCATCTGTTCACACATTTAAGTTATGGAGGAACTTATGTTTTCCTTGGAAATGGTGCCTGACTCTATACCATGCTTCATCTCCCCAAGAACCTACTATGGTGGAAACCCATGCCTATCTCTATTGTTTTTTTCTGCTGAATAGTACTCCATTGTGTAAATGTACCACATTTTCTCTATCCACTCTTCAGTTGAGGGGCATCTAGGTTGGTTCCAAATTCTTGCTATTACAAATAATGCTGCTATGAACATAGTGGAACAGACATCCTTGTTGTATGAATGGGCATCTTTTGGATATATGCCTAAGAGTGGAATTGCTGGGTCTTGTGGTAGATTGATTCCCATTTTTCTGAGGAATTTCCATACTGATTTTCAAAGTGGATGTACGAGTTGGCACTCCCACCAGCAGTGGAGGAGTGTTCCACTTTCACCACATCCTCTCCAACATAAATTGTCTTAGGTGTTTTTGATTTTAGCCATTCTGACAGGAGTGAGATGGTATCTCAGAGTTGTTTTGATTTGCATTTCCTGGATGGCTAAGGTTGTTGAGAACTTTCTCAAGTGCCTCTCAGTCATTTTAGACTCTTCTATTGAAAATTCTCTACTTAGTTCTGTAGCCCACTTTTTAATTGGATCTGTTGGTGTTTTGGAGACTTGCTTCTTGAGTTCTTTTGTAAATTTTGGAGATTAGCCTCTGTCAGATGTGGGGTTAGTGAATATTTTTTCCCATTCTGTGGGCTGCCTTTTTGTCTTGCTGACTGTGTCCTTATATACTTTTCTTGTGCTGGGATTAAAGACATGAGATCTGTTTTTCTTTTAGACTGATTCACTCTCATATAGCCCTGAGTGACCTTGAACAGAGGTCCATCTGCCTCTGTCTCCTGTTCCTGGGATTAAAGGTGTGTGCCACCACTGCCTGGCCTCTATGGCTATGTCTATTTTTGCATTCTGATCTCCAGGCAATCTTTATTAGAGTGTAAACAATATATCACTACAGTTCCACTATGTCTGTCAAATCCCTATGAAAAACATGTCCTACAGTATGCTCCCATTACCTTGTTTACAGAAAAAAACAATACCATATTATGTCCTCATCATCTGATGATCATGTATGTGTTTGAAACCCCAAGTCCCCATTCTTATTTTGTACCATTGGCCTGATTTTCATATATGATGCTGCTTGTTAACTACAAATGGTGCTATAATATTGTATGCCCCTGTCCTTGATTACCACACATGACGCTACACAGTTTCCATGAATTTTCCTTCATGTCTATTCCCCAACACTATGTTCTTGGTCATCATTTTGATGGGTAGATATCGTCCTACACTGAACAGACACATAAATGCCTATGTATGGCACCAGTCTATGTTTCATCTCCTTGAATACCAGTCATGATGCACGTGTACTATGTGCGCCTGAGAATGTTATATGTGAAGCAGCTGTGTCAACCTTTCTATCCATAAATGACAATACATTGTCACCTCCCTGATTATCTTAAATGAGAATCCACAATGTCAGCCACACTCTCTGAATCAGCATGTTTTATGCCACAGTATATCAAAGTCATAATTTAAAAAAACAAACCTCTGACACTATGGTAAATTTATGTCAGGTCACTTGTCGCATTTACCTTATCTGCCTTATGATGCTTGAGGTATATATCTACATGAGATGAACTTGTAGCTTCTTAGTCTATATGATGCTATGATATATCTATATATACATATATATATCTGCATGATATTTACCAATGGTATCTTACTTTATATGATATTACAGTGTGTGTGTGTATAGATATATGCCTGTTAATAATATCTTACTCTATACAATCCTCTAGTGTGTATGTATGTGTGATCTCTACTGACAATATCTTACTCTATATATTGCTACTATATATATTATCAATATTGACTATATCTTCCTCTATAATCTCTATAGATAATCACAGTGTCAAATAATCCATCTGTGTTACATTGGGTTTATTATTTCACTGACTGTATCAGATATGCACAATGCTTGTATAGTAATCTTGAAGATTATACATGATGCTGCATTAATATGTCATCTCTTTGCCAGTTATATGGCATTGTATGTATACATAATTGCTGATAACTTATACATGATTCTATTATGTAGGTAATGAGCACGACAACTATGCATCATGTTACACTGTATGCATACACTTTAGAATACTACGTATGGCACTGTAGTTTGACTGCTTTGCCTCTTTGATAACAATGTGTAATCCTGCTGTGTTATGGGTGAAACTGATGATACAGAATTATATTTCTGGTGTCTGCATCATATACATGGCAAAATATATAACAAAACACCATGTGCTTTATATTTAAATTTTATGTCATAGTATTATCTTAAGTGTGATATATTGTGACAACTTAGTGAAGCCTTGCCATTTTTTATGCCTCTGATAGTGTTGTAGTCATGAAAACTCTATTTTCATCCCTTTTTTGATGATGATATTATGTAATTTGTGATATCCAAGATATTCTCAAGTAACATTATATTATGGTTCATCTTTTTTTTGTTTGTTTTTGTTTTTTGAGACAGGGTTTCTCTGTGGCTTTGGAGGCTGTCCTGGAACTCACTTTGTAGACCAGGCTGGCCTCGAACTCACAGAGATCTGCCTGCCTCTGTCTCCCGAGTGCTGGGATTAAAGGCGTGCACCACCAACGCCCGGCTTATGGTTCATCTTTTTGATGATATTTGAAACTGCCCTATGTATTAATCATGAACTTAAACATCATGTGTGATGTCACTATATATGTCTTCTTTTGGATAGCCATAAAGAATGGTATTTAAGCTAGGCATGGTGGTATCCCCATTTAATCCCAGCAAGGAGATCCTTTTCTATCAAAGCCCCTCGAGTTCTTCACACAGTAACTATCAGGTAATAGATAAGTCTTTAACATACTAAGTCTTAGGCTGGAGAGATGGCTCAGAGGTTAAGAGCACTGACTGCTCTTCCAGGGGTCCTGAGTTCAATTCCCAGCAACCACATGATGGCTCACAACCATCTACAATTCAATCTGGTGCCCTCTTCTGGCATGTAGGTAAAACACTGTATATGTAATACATAAATAAATCTTTAAAACAAACATACTAAGTCTTGGGGAACTTGTTGCATGCAGCAAAATACAATATAGAGATTTTATAGTTCTTTTACAATTTATCACACTAGTTTCTGTATATGGAGTAAATACAAGTGCAATCTCATTGTTTCCCATACCCATAACCATATAACATTTTATTTCTTCCATTGGACTGGAATGGACAGGGCAGTGGTGTGGAAACCATATGTGTGAGCTTCTTCTGAGCTCTCTATTAGTGATACATGTCTATTCTTTGGCCAAGACCACACAATCCTATTTACCATGGCATGAAGAAAATATTGGTATCAGGAAATAAAAGTTCTCCAAATGATATCCTTTTAAATTATTTTAGTTCTTGTTAGTCCTTACCTGCTTTTCTGTCCTCATTCTTTTTTGGAGATCACATTCCTTAATTCATAATAAACAGTCTAAATGTCTCATAGAATCCTTCTTGAGTAATGACTGCTATACTGTGTAAATTTATGAATTTAAATGCATAAAATCAATGTCATAAGATCAGTCATGGAAATAGTACTTCTTATAACCTAGCTCTGTAACTTTGCACAAAGGTTGTTATGAGCAGGGCCTAGAGAAAGGGCTCAGAGCCAGGCAGATCTCTATGAGTTCAAGGCCAGTCTGGTCTACATGGTGAGTTCCAGGATAGCCAGGACTACATAATGAGACCCTGTCTCAAAGATAAAAAAAACATGAACTTTAATGGATCAGTGTCATCATTCTGATATAAATACATGGTTCATGAGTACAAATAATCTGTTATGCCTCTGTGTTTTTGATGTCCCTTTAATAGCTAGGCCCCATACTTTATTGTGATCAGCACAAAGACATCTTCACTGAATGTGCCTCATCTCCAGAAAGACCACAGATGGTGGCATGCATAGTCTCTGTTATCTTTCTGGTTGCCACATGTGGTCCTGAACTGTATCATATCCTTTCTGTCACTTTAAAATCTGTGTAAGAGGGGTTGGAGAGATGGCTCAGTGGTTAAGAGTGCTTGTTGCTCTTTAGGAGGACCTGAATTTGGTTCCAGAACTCATGTAGGGTGACTCACAACAGCCTGAAGCTTCGGTTCTGTTTGTTACAACATTGTCTTCTGGTCTTCACCAGCACCTGCACTCACCTATAATACGCACACACAGACACACACAATTAAAATAAAATGCATCTTTAACAATCTGCATAAGCAATCATACTGAATGCACAGCACATCCTTGAGAATAATGTGTGATGTGATTCTACACAAATTGCATACACCTGTGGTCTTTAGAATGGGTCTAATCCTTGATAACACTGCATGAAGCTGTGTGATACTTCATCTCATTACTCCCTTAGTTCATATTTCATTATCACCGCCTCTGCCTATTGTGTATGATACCAAGCTATATCCTGTGCCATGTTTTTTTAGAGTCGTGTGGAATGCCGCATAATCAGTCCTCTTTCCTGATAAGCTCATATAATGTACATTGGCTTCTACATCATGCCCTTGAAAACTCTCTAATGATTTTATGTTGTGGTTTATCTTACTGTGGCTAATTCAACATATTCCTCATGGATATTTTATGGAAAGCAGGTCAGGACATAATTAAAGGTCAGGACATAATTAATCATTCATACATGTTTATTTAATAAATGTTATGTTGCAAAGAATATTAGAAGTCACTCAGCAGCATTTGCTGGGGAAAGGGCTGGAGGATCAGAATGCTGAGAAATGAAAAGTTTGCTGAAGGAGAAGTTCAATTATAGTTTTTATTTCCTTGTTATCTGCTGTTTTTCCAGTAACAATTCTGTTATTTCATCATCTACAAACCATTACTTTAAAAACGATTTTTTTTCTTTTGAGGTATTCTAATCCTGTGCTTCCTAGGAAGCATTGCAATTTAGAACACTCTTGTTTATCTCCAAAATGACAAATGTTTATTGTTTCAGGTTCAGAAGTTGGGATTAGTTTGTTGCACAGTAGAAGATAATTAACACCAGCTGGTCTAATTGCTGTCCCCATTTTACAGCTGAGGGAGCTAAAGTGTACATAAATTAACTAAAGCAGCTTGTGTCAGGACACAGGGTTAGGAAATTGTGGAGGTGAGATGTGGACCAGCAGACTGCTTTCTGACCATTCTCATTCTATCTTGCACATAGCTGTGATGTCAAAGAGTGAGTCTATGCATCACATAATTTATTTCATCCGCCATCTTCCTTTCTATGGTGCACCACATTTCAGTGTTACTGAATTGTGAAGCATCTCAGCTGTAAGACAGTTCTAAAATAAGATTAAAAATCATTTTATCTCTTCCAGTTTTTCTTATTCCACATATCACACATTCTTCTAAACAGGAGCCCATGATCTCTTGCAACAATGTCAGAGACAGAGAGCAAGTCTTGTCCAGCCTCTTCTGTAGTGGGACAACTTGTATTCAGAAGGTTGGACATGGCTCTTGACACAGGAAGGACAAACTAAATGCAGAGCTCATTTGCCAGAGAATAGACTTTTAGTTAATGTGAAGTCCTTCATTTCAGATGGATTAATGTTTATTCTAATACCTCTCCAAAAGGAACAGCAAGAGTTTATGATGCATCCACAAGAAAATGTATAACCAAACTGGAAGGCCATGAAGGAGAGATCTCAAAGGTGAGTTGCTTTCTCACTTTGATCTGTGTGTTTACTGTAAAAAGAATATATTTAATGTTAGTAGGATAATAGAGGTTACAAATTAACCCCCTAAATTAATAGATAAGACCCTTTAAGATAGCCAACATGTTTATTAATATGCAACAGGCAGAAAAGTACAGTTCCTGACATTCAGTAGCTTGAGGTATACAGAACAAAGATAAAACAAGTTAAGTGAATAGAATGATACTTTGCTGAGTACTCACTGAGCCTAATATGGTGTCCAATATTGCTGAAGCTACTGGAGTTGAATGGCTGAGGAGTCACATTATTGAACTTGCTTATGCTATATCTGCATTTGATCATTATTTTAAGGTGAATTTCTATGTAAAGTGACTGGAAACACCACTCAAAGCAACTGATAACACCTCTTTTGAAAATGTTTATTATGAAATAAATTCCTTGCTCTTCACCATCTTTCCTGCATCTATTACTGACAGTGGGTTTCCTGTTGGATGGCAGAGAGCTGTAAATGAAGCATACTAGACTTCACCTACACATAGTAGACCTATTACAAACCAAGGGATTTCAGTTAATTTTCTTTACAAAATATGATTAAGCTCATATACTTCATAGAGAGTGGAGCTATATCTAGTGTTGGTTACATAAAACGTAGTATTTTTGGATCTTATGGGGGTTAGCTGGGCATAATGACACATGCTTGTAAGTGTAGTAGGTTGGAGATAGAGACATAAGGATCAGGTGTTCAAGGCCAGCCTGGGCTATAGGCTACATTGTCTCAGCAACCAAACACCAACACCCACCCCCACAAAACAGATGTATTGGGACTAAAGCACTTAAGTCTCTTTAATTAAATCATCCTGCCCAGTCAACTACCCAAACCTTTATTTTTAAGCATGTCTTCTCTGATTCAGCAAAAAGAAATTATTTCTTAAACATTTAAAAAGCATAAAACAATATTCTTTTCAAACATCAGCAAATATTTAATTAGCTGAAAATACCCAACTCAGCAATGTAAGGAGCTTGCAAAGTGCTTTTTTCTACTTCTAGTAAACATGCAAGTTTGTTTTATGCAAAAAGACATGTGGTGCTTCGAGGGTTCTGTAAATTAGAGGTAATGGAAGGGGTGAGGTTTAAGAATATTTAACAAAGTATGAACTTATCCATTTTGAAACTACAGGGCTGTATCTTAGGGTTGTATAGAACACTTTTTAGAAGCGTCACAGAGCAGAGCCACTCAGTGAGAGTCTGAGGTTTGTATGTGTGCCCGCAACAAGGCAGAGCATACTGTGACTCAGGGCTCTTGCCTCCCAGTTCTGCCTGAATTCTTGGTTTTATATGTAAGATTTTTATCTGCCACTTCCTTATGAAATAATAGCTTGATGGCTTCAGAACTTTGAAGGTTATAGCAAGATTCCAATATTTCCCATGTATACTCCTGTCCCTCCATCCTTTATCCCTGTTGCTGTTGGCCATTGCCCTCTGGCTGAAAGTGCTGGCATACATGGAAATGGGTGCTGCTGACCACTTCATGGACTGAGAGGTAACAGAGTGGTAAGGGGGTATGGGGAAGTGGGGCATGGAAGGGCAGCCTGGGCCATGTTCCTGAGTGTTTGGCATTTTTCTCAATGAGTGTGTATTTGTCTTTGTGAACATGTGACTATAAGAAAATTTTGAGTTCTGTATTATTTAATTGTATGCATGTCAAGCAAATATATTGCTCATGGTGATAATATTTATAAGGAGTACAGAGCTAAAACATCTAGTATTTAGTTCACCAAATGGTTAAGATGTTAGTATATATTCAGTAATCACAATAATGAATTCATTATGACATTTCATATATGTATGTAATGTATTGTGATCATATGTATCCCCATTACCTTCCCTGTTCCCCTTCCTCTATTGTGGACCCTCTTCCTATTACCAGTTAGCACTCTTTCTGGTTTCATGTGCTTTTGTGTGTGTGACCCAGAGAATTTCATTAGGACAGCTTAGAGGACTATGGGTGTCAGTAACCACCTTTTGAGAGCTTCCCCTGTGCTAGGAATTTTACAGACACTGGTGAGACAGTGATAAGATAAGGCATGGCTTGTCCTCCTCATATCTCCAGACCCAATTGAAGTGACTCAAATCATTGTCTTGTGTTAAGTAGAAAGGACTTCCACTGGGTTATCAGAGGAATTCAAGGGCCAGTGACAGGTGCCTCTGACACTCAGATACTAAAGGAGAGCACCTGGTCCAAGTGAAGCATCCAAACGTATTATCTGAAAGTGATGCAATTTGGGTAGCAATAGATGAAAATCCTCTTGCAGCCCTAGGTGTCTGCTCTTTCTGTGGCACAGACGGAGGGGTGTTCTATGTGGTTTTAGTGACAGAAGCTTGTGTGGCAGAGGTGACATTGAAATTTACAGGTAGAACCTGATTTGTTTTTATCTACAATTTGTCTCTGCCTCTCTTTTGGATGAGGAGCGAACCACAAGTCTTTGGGAAGAAACCGTTGGGAAATACTCAAAAGTATACAGGTGCTTTGGTCTTTTATGATTAGAGTTGTGAGAAAGTAAACAATTAAACATTAGCATCCAGGCTTCAACTTTCAGATATTAGTCCCTATATTTTTCCCATCAGGAAGACGTTCTTCTAAAATAAGTACTAGATCAGGGAGAAGATTGGTGCTCAGCACTACGTTTGCTTTTGGAAATCTATTGTTAACCCAAACTTCTACTTTCTACCATCTCTTTTGCTGTTTTGCAGATCTCTTTCAATCCCCAAGGAAACCGCCTCTTGACAGGCAGCTCAGACAAGACAGCCAGAATCTGGGATGTCCAGACTGGCCAGTGCCTCCAGGTCTTGAAGGGCCACACTGATGAAATATTTTCGTGTGCTTTCAACTATAAAGGAAATATAGTCATTACAGGTATGGAAGAAATACACATCATGGAGCTAGTTTCCTTTTCAATTGCCTGCTAGACTTTTTAAAAGGATGCTAAAAGGAGTACAACCTCTGCTCAATTTTCTAGAGGCCCTGGCTTATCCTGGAATTTCATTTTACTTCCATTATTGAATTTTTTGTTATTATTGGATTTTTAAAGAAAATATTTTGCATCCTGGCCTCAGACTTGCAGTAGTCTTCCTGTCTTAGCCTACCCAGTGCCAGGTTTGGAAGTATTAGCCACCATGCCAGGTTCCCATTCAGTTGCACCAGGACTCACCAGAATGTTCTCTGCCACTGATGGTAAACATTTGTGACTTTTAATTCTATTGCTTTAGGTAAGGTAGCTAGGAACTTGTGTATACTCAACTAATGGTTACTGCTCAACTGACGGTAGTAGACACCGATAAAGTAAACAAGTCTGGACTTTCATTTTCCACAGATGATGTGGAAAATAATAGCCCAGTAGAGGTGTTAAATTTCAATGTCTTTTTCTTGGATCTTTCCTGAGAAAGTGCTAATAGGTGGTGGTGGGGGGAAGAATATGCATTGAATGTTTTCCCAGCTATCGGCAATTGTGTGACTTCCTGGTGAGTTGTCCATTGGAAAGCCTCACATTCACACATGGCTCAGTATCAGTGACCCAGGAGAAAGTCCCTCTGTTCAAAAAAAGGGTAACAGAAACAAGATAAGGGGAAAATGATCTTGCAATTTGTTTCATCAGGCAGCAAGGACAATTCCTGTAGGATATGGCGCTGACTGAAGGACTCTGCTGTGGAGCAGGGCTGTTGGCAACAGTGATGAAGAACTTGAACTCCCAGAGAACAAGTGAGCCTATTTCCTCTGCTTCCTCTTTTTGTGCAACTCACCCACAGAGCATCCTGTCCTTCACTTACAGACATGGCTGTGAAAACTGACGAACTTACATCATTTCTTGATGTTATCCGAGGTGATAACAGGAGCAAGCATCATATGTGGTAAATGCCACTAATTGTTTTAGTTGTGTTTTGTGTTTCAATAGCATCAGGATATTGATAAAATTGAGTCAACATGCTTTTACAGTACTTTGTCAAGATTCTAGAATCTTCTAGATACTACCTGAAGGTTCGTGTTAGTTTCTTTTCAATAAAGTTTTCAGACAAAATTTCATATGAATAGTGTTTTGATGCTGCAACGATAAACGGCACACTTACTAAAAGTAAAAATAAGTATTGTAGAAATTACTCACAAGAGACCAAACAAGTAACCCAGATGAGCCGAGTAGTTTTCTGCCACCGAACTGGAAGCCGAAAGCCGGAAAAAGAGAGAGACTTCCGTTGTTCAGTCTTTTATACCTTCCTCTGTAACGCCCCTAGACATGCCCAAAAGTGGGCCTGGCTAGTGACGTAGTTCACCGCCTATGTCCGTATATGTCTTTAGTCATGCCTAAAGTTGGTGTGGTTAGCGGTGTGGTAAACCGCTCTTTTATTACCTCATCTGTGTGCGCCTCTAGTAAGTCACATGGCTAATGGCGGCATTGTTTTCCTCCTACAGTGTTTCATTATATGTTTGGAGGGCAAGATAACAAACAATAAAATGGTTCTCACCAACAAATGTATTCTGCATTGAAAGTGGTATAGAATATATGTAGGTAGGTTTATCTATAAGAATTCGTTAAAAGAATAGATATTCAGATTAGTAAATTTAAAAACCCTAAACGAAAACATTGAAGTATAAGAGGAAACAACCAAACTGTTGCTAAAATATTAAACATATCTTGAGCTGCTGGAGAGATGACTGCTGTTGCAGAGGACCCGGGCTCTTTCCCAGCACACATATCAAGTAGTTCACAATGCACTGTGACTCTAACTGCAGGGAATCTGACACAGTCTTCTGTGGTCACCTGTATTTATGGGTACACATGCACTCATAAAGATGCACTCATAGACACACACACACACACACAAATCTTTACAGATCCAATATGTATCCCTCATAATGAGAATGTATAGATCCACTAACAAATATCTAGAGGCACGGCACAACCCCATGATACCCTAAATTTACATTTATTTGTCATTTATCTACAAGTTTTTACCCTTGGCCATTATCTTTCCCCTTCACCCATCCTCTTGTCCCTGGTTACCATTCATCTACTGTTTCTATTGTGTTTGGCTTTTTTTTTTTTTGATTCTGTATATGCTTGAGATCATGGACTGTTTGTGTTTCACTATCTGGCTTATTTTATTAGCATAATGCCCTCAATACTTTTCTATGACAGAATTTTCCTCTTTTCAGTGTCAAACAAGGTCACTCTCTATGTCTATGTATGTGTACTTTCTGTTCATTTATTTATTTATTTATTTTGTGTGTGTGTGTGTGTGTGTGTGTGTGTGTGCGCGCGCGTGCGTCACAGTGCACACATATAGATAATAGTACAACTTTGTAGAGTCAATTTTCTCCTTCTACCATGTGGGGTCCCAGGGTTGATGACTGAACTCAGTTTGTCAGCCTTGGCAGCAAGTTTCTTTGCCTTTACTCACTAGGCCATCTCACCAGCCCTGTTTCTCTTTCTGCTATGGTTTCCTTTGCCGTGCTTTAGGTGGCATAGTCTCATTACCTTATGTTCTTACTTTTGGTGCTTCTGTGATTGTGTCCAAAAATTCACCATCAAGATGAGTGGCACAGCACATTCCTCTCTTGGGCCTTTGAGGTCTTAGTGTAAAGCTTTCCAATGGATTTTGCGTTGACTACTGTGCAGCGTGCACAGTATTTGGTTTAGTTAGCTTTCTGCCACTATGATCAAATATCTTCCGACTTAGGGAAAGGTTTGATTTTGGTCATGCTTTTAGAAGTTTCAATACAGAACTGGTTGGTCCAGTTGTTCCTGGGCTTGTAGTAAAGGAAATGGGGGAGCACATGGCACAGCAAAGTCATTCACTGCTTGGCAGGCATGACAGGCATGGAAGTGAGTAATGGGGGGCCATAGAGGGAAGGAGAGGGAGAAGAAGAGATGGAGGGAGAGGGGAAGAGAGAGGGGGGGAGGAATAGAGAAACACTGACTGGGGGTGTTCCATAATTGCTTTTGAGGACATGCCCTTTCTGACCTGGAACCTCCCTTACAGCCATGTCTTTTAAGTTTCCAACTGCCTTCTTATAACACCAAGCTGGAGAGCAAGCCTTTAGCACATGGGACTTCAGGACATGTTCCAGATCTAAATCACAGCAATACAGATACCGTGTCATTTATTGCATGCAGATACTGTTTCTCCAACACTATCAAAGAGACTGTTCTTGCTCCATTGAAGACTAAAGGAGTAGACAGATATTTGTGACTCTGTTGGCTTTAGTTCATGTGTTATCGTTATCTTTTTTTTATATTTTATTTTCCAGTTTAAATTTAGATAAGAAACAAGGTTGCTTCACAAGTCAGTTCCAGGTCCCTCTCCCATTCCCTCCCCTCTTCCCGTGCCCTCCCTCCATCCCCCCCCCCCGTTATCCCCTCATTCCCCCAGGGAGGGTGAGGCCCTCCATGGGGGTGTCCATAGTCTGTCATTTCATATAGGGCAGGGCCTAGACCCTTCCCCAAGAGTTCAGGGTGTTATCGTTATCTTTAACTATCAGTTTCATAATCTGGGAAAAGGGAACCACAGGTGAGGAATTACCTCCATTAGATTAGCGTATGAGTATGTCTGTGGGAAATCTTAATCGCTAATTGGTATATAAGGGTACATCCCACTGTAGGACATGCCATCCCTGGGCAAGTGGTCCTCAGTTCTATGAGGAAGGTAGCTAAGCAAGCTGGAGGGACCACTGTTTCCCCTCCCTATCCTACTCCTGTTCCCTCCCCTCAAGTCTCACTTACCTCCTCCCCATCCACTCCTCCTCTGTCTCCATTTAGAAAGGGTCCAGCCTCCCACAGGGTAGCTCCCAGTCTTCTTGATGTTTGATATGTAAGCTACCATTTTATTATTGCTCTGGCACTAGGAACAGAAACTGAAAAAAAATTCTAAATTGCTCCAGCTTCCAGACTACTTCCTTATGAGATAAATAAAAAAGTTTATTATTTTATATTTACAACACTTTCTCATAAATCGACAAGTTTACCCAGAGGGAAGGAATGGGAATGGTGAGCTCTCAAGATTAATAACACATATTCAGAAGCTGAAATGACTTTGGCTCTATTGCCTGGCTCTACCCTCCTCACTTTTTTCCCTTTTCTGGAAGCATTAAATTGGTTTATGAACCTTTAAGGGATGTAAGTTCCAGAAAACTTCCGGGGAGGCAGTAGGAAAAATAATAGTGAGGGTTGCCCTTTGCTTTGATTGTAAGGAAACATTGGATTCATTGCTTCGGACAGAGCCACCTTTGATGCCCTTTTACTGGGAATATGGTGTGCTGCTTAAACATTTGCTCCAACATGTCAAGTGGTAACATCCATTAGGGAGAGCGAAGTGCCTGGAATCTGTTGCTGTTTGCAGAGTTTATGGGCTTACAAGCTTTGATTTCTTCTCTCCTCTCAGCAGGTGTCACTGTTTGTCCTTCTGCAGTTTCTGCCTTTCTTGACAGAGTGTACAGAGTACTCTTTACACTCCGGGCCCCTTACAGATAAGGTTATGTGGGGATACGATACTGAGGACATGGTATAGTTTAAAGCTTGGAACTCTCCTGGCAGATCTGGGACAAATGACATATCTCATTAATCTTGACATTCTGCAGGGACATTTCCTCATCTATCTTGAGGACATAGACCAGCAAGTTGAATAATAGATAGCTCTGATGTTTCTTTAAAGGTCCCCTGTGGGGAAGCGTGTGTGAAGATTTATTTTGTA